AAGCTTCACTTTCACTAAGTGTAATTTTTTATTTAGGGGAGCATAAATTAACTGTTTAAAATATTGCCTGTCGCTTAAATATCCGCATAAAAGAAAAACACCGCCGATTGCATCGATTACTCATAGACTGAAATTTTAATTTCTCATTTTCTTCCTTTTATAATATTTCTTCTTACATCTAATTAGCAGTTACCTAAACTTCCAAATTCCAACATTAAAACGGTAACCTCTTCGCCTGCACCTATGAACATACGTATGTATGTGTGCATGTGTACAAAGCGTTGACAAAGCCGTGCTTGCAGTAGGCATACACACACCGCATGCACATAGGTACATTAGAATACTGTAACCATGCATTTACTTACATTAGGGTGGTGCTAAAAACTAAAGGTAAGTAAATTGGTAAGTAAACTCAAATTTCATTTAAAGGGAAAACAAGGTAAGTAGAAAGTAATTATAAGGTAATTATAAGGTAAGTAATAGTAAAATGTAAGGTAAGTATAAGGTAAATCTTATTTAGGCATTTAGGTAAGTATATATAATTATTTCTCTATTTAAATTCATTTTTAATTACATGTCATTTATTTACATTTCATTTTAGGTATTCAGTTTCTTAAATTAGTCGTCTGCTTCAACACCGGCCACCTTGAACGAATCTGCATTATTCCACTGTCGTTTAATGGTAACACGGCAAGCTTGTGTATCGGACGCCTAATTGTTCCGGTTCTGGTTTGTACGTCGGCCACTCTCACCTTTCCGTCCTGGCCGGCGGTCGTACCTGTCACTCGGCCTAGGATCCATTGCTAGGGCGGGGCGTTGTCTTCGTGAACGACGACGAGCTCTCCTACCTCTACGTTGGGCTGTGGGTGCTGCCATTTGTTGCGCTCCTGCAAGCTCAGGAGGTAACTCCTGGACCACGTTTGCCAAAACCGACGCTTGATTGAGCAGACATGCTGCCATCTGTCGGAGTAGCGCGTGCTGGGTTCCGGGAGTGCCGTTTCCTCTGGCATTGCCCTGAGCCGACAACCGATCAACAGGTGCGCCGGAGTTAGAGCCTCGCCGTCGTTCGGGTCTTGGCTGAGTGGAGCGATTGGGCGCGAGTTGAGCACGGCCTCTACCTCGACGAGCAGCGTTTCTATTTCTTCGGCGGTGAGACTCGCGTTGCCTACGGCTCGTACGAGCAGGTGCTTCGTCGACTTCACTGCGGCCGCCCATAACCCGCCGAAGTGGGGAGCCCTGGGAGGTATAAAGGTGAACTTGAACCCTTCGTCCGCTGCGTATTGGGTTACCTCCTCCTTCTGACTCAGAAACGCTTCCTTCAGTTCCTTGAGCTTCCGATCGGCTCTGACGATATTTTTTCGCGTTGTCGCAGTGAATCGTCACTGGTATTCCCCGGCGTCCAACGAACCTTTTAAGGGCGAGAATAAACTTATCAGAACTTAAATCAGATACAAGTTCTAAATGGACAGCTTTTGAGGTAAAACACACAAAGACCGCAATGTACATTTTCACCGGGGGGCGACCCCGTATCCTTTGTGTGACGTAAATTGGACCGCAAAAATCTACCCCACAAACCATAAAAGGTCGTAGAGCACGCAGCCTATCGGCTGGTAAATTGCCCATAATTTGGCTTTTCAATTTTGGCTTATAATGAAAGCAATGTATGCAGTTTCGCACGGTTCGACTACATGCTTCTCGAGCATTGACTAACCAAACTTTTTCACGTAAAATTGCAACCAATGCTTTCGCACCTGCATGGTGGTTGCGCAAATGTAGGAACCGTATATACGAATTTACGAACTGCGAATTTTTCTCAATAATAGAGGAAATTTGGCATCGTACGGGATAGGCGCATTTAATAAACGACCGCCTACTCGTAACAATTTCAACGACAAGGACTTTTCTGAATACTCATGCAAAAATGGATTCAACTTTTGCAAGTTCGACGGTAGTGGAAGATTTTTTGACAATTTGGTAATTTCTTGGCTATATTCATCAAATTGGACTATTTGAACAATTTTTAAGAAGCTTAATTGCAACTCTTGTGCCGATGGTGTTGGATCATATTTAGTGGATCGATCTCTCACCTTTAAGACCCATCGCAGAATATAGGCAAAAACTCGTAATAATTTTTTGTGCGAGAATATTTTTCAATCACAGTTAAGAGTGGATTACGGTTGTCACTCACTGCTACTAAGGCGCTGACGTTTTTCTTCTTTTCCAGTGCTTGTTCTTCAGGCGTTAATTCGAAATGGGTAATTATTGGCCAACTTGCGGGGTCTTCTAAGAGGAACTGTGGGCTAGAAAACCATATTGAGTTCTGTATTTCATCCACGCTACAACCCCGAGACACTTGATCCGCAGGATTTTGTTTAGTTGGCACATGCCGCCACGAAGCACTTTGAGTCAACTCTTGAATCTCGGACACTCTATTTGCAACGAAAGTTTGCAACGTTGATGGATGTGTTTTTATCCAATGCAAAACTATTTCGGAGTCTGTCCAGGATGTTATGCTGTCAATAGGTCGATTCAACATTGGCGCAATGCGTGACCATAACTTGGCCAAAAGATGCGCTGCCAGGAGCTCTAAACGAGGAAGAGACTTCAGCGGAGCAACCCTGGATTTTGCAGTTAGCAGAATGCATTTAACATCATTAGCGAATTGGCTTCGAATGTAAATACAACAACCATACGCCCTTATTGAGGCGTCGGCGAAGCCGTGTATTTGACAATTAGCACTCGACTCAGTATAAACGAACCGAGGAATGCTGATTGAAGGCAACTGCAACAAATTCGCTTTAAAATTCTGCCAACTGCTGTTGAGATACAACGGAATCGACTCATCCCAATCTAGTTTCTTAATCCACAGCTCTTGCAATAAGATTTTAGCTGAGGTCACTAGTGGGGCCAGCAAACCAAGAGGATCAAAGAGTCGGGCAGATACCGATAAAATATTTCGTTTTGTAGCTCGTAACTCATCAAATGTATCATCAAGTCTAAACCGAAACAAGTCGTCTTTTGGCGACCAGTGGATTCCCAGCGTTTTAGTGGAGTCTGAATCGTTGAAACTTAATGATTTTTCCAGACTCTGACTATCGAAAAAACTTGGTGGTTAGAGAACCACTTAGCTAGCTGGAATCCTGCCGACTTTAGAATGTCAGTTACCTCACAGCGAACTCTGTCGAGGGATTCAAAATCTTCAGATCCGGTTAACAGATCATTAACGCAAAAATCGGTATTTATTACATTAGCACCGAGTGGATATTTTTGTGCATTCACATCACTTAGCATCTGCAAACACCGTGTTGCGAGAAATGGCGCTGGCGCAGTGCCATAGGTCACGGTGTTTAAACGAAAAATTTGCAGAGGCTCGGATGGATGCTTTCTCCACACTATTGATTGAAAATTTCTATCATTTTCATTTACAAGAACTTGGCGATACATCTTAGTGATGTCCGCCGTAATAGCATACTTATGCATTCGAAAGCGAAGTAGCGTCGAAAAAAGTTCTTCTTTAATGGTCGGTCCAACCATCAAAATGTCATTCAACGCAATTTGTGTTGACGTCCGACTCGACGCATCGAAAACAACGCGGAGTTTCGTCGACGTACTTTGTGGTCTTAAGACACACTGATGCGGAATGAAATAGTGGGCTTCACTCGGGATTTTATTATCAGTGGGGCTCATGTGGCCCAATGCCAAGTACTCTTGCATGAAGTCCAGATACATTTGACGAGGTTCTGGATCTTTCAACGTACGTCTCTCCAGTGCCTGAAACCGCCGAGCTGCAGTTTCAAATGACTGACCCAACGCATTTTGGTCAGTTTTGAACGGCAATCTTACTTGAAGCCGTCCCGACGGTAAGACTTCAGTAGTCTTAACGAAGTATTCCTCGCATTCCCTTTATTCGGCCGTGAACTTTATAGCTTGTGATTCTGAAGGGATTTCTTCCATTGCCCAGAATCTTTGGACAATTTCATCAATTGATTCAGAATCATCTTCAGCTTTGCATAAGGCACTGCTAGCTTGAGAATGCTCACTTTGGTGGGAGATGTATTTGCCTGAAATAACCCAACCCAAAAGTGTTTTTTGCAGTGTTGGGAACCTTGGATCAGTTTTAATTTGACCAACCGACAGAAGATCGAAAAATGTTTCGGCTCCCAACAACAGATCGACCTTTGAGGACTTATAGAACCCCGGATCAGCTAATTCAATATTAGCTGGAATTTTCCAACCTGTGGTGTCAACAGCCCGATCTGGGTGATTTGCCGAAATCGCTCCCATTACCCAAAAATCTGCGAGAAACTTGAAGTTGTTAACTCGGGATTTTATGACTGCACTAACTTTTGACCGAACCTTTTGGCATTACCAATCCCGATGACATTTAATGTCGCCTTCTCTCGCTGAATTCGCAGCCTTTGTGCCAGCTCTTCAGTCATGAAATTTACTTGAGACCCTGAGTCAAGTAACGCACGAGCTGACACATAATCACCGGAGCAAGTTTTTACCTTGACCACCGCTGTCGCTAACATGACGCGATCAGGCACGCTCACTGTGTGCATAGTTTGTGAGGTCGAAGGTTGTGGTGTTGTTTCGAACGATATGGGGTATTGGTGTAACATGGTGTGATGTGACCGGTTACAAACTCGACACCGTTCTAATTTGCATTTAGAAACCGTATGTCCCTTGCGTAAGCAATTTATACACAATGGGACCGATTTCGCGAATTCGAATCTCTGCTGAGGAGAGAGAGTTTTAAATTTAGGGCAGGTGGTTAGAAAGTTGTCTTTGGAGTTGCAGTGGAAACAAGTAGTTGGCTTAGCTTTCGCAGCCACAAAAGAAGATTTTGGCTTTTCAGCACTCTTGGTGCTTTGCCTTTGGGTGTCGTGCGATTTTGACGATGTCGACGCTTCTTCAGATGAGAGGTGCTGGTATCTCTTATTGAGAGCCGCTTCACACTCACTCCACAGCGGAAGCTTGTCATAGTCAAGTTGCTCCTCTCATTTTGACCGCGTAGTGGGATCAACCTTCGACATTACCAAATGTATCAACATCGCATTTGAAATATTTGTATCATCACCCAAAGACAACAAGGAGTCATATACAGCTGATACGGTGTCGATCATTGACCGCAGCGAAAGCGACGATGCCTTTTGTATTTTCGGCAACTCAAACAGTTTCGCAACTGTATTCGAAAATATGAGACATTTATTATCATATACCTTTTTCAGGCTTGCCAACGCCTTCGGGTAATTTTCTTCCGTCATTTGGAAGGCCTTCACCGTTCCCAAGGCTTCACCAGACAAACACGAAACTAAATGTGTGAATTTTTCAATGTCTGAAAGCGCAGGGTTGTTATGGACGAGGCTCTCAAACAAACTCATGAAATTTTTAAAATCCGAATACTGCCCTCGAAACTTTCGCAGCGACATTTTCGGAAGTCTTGAGCTGTGAGGCGCTGTGAAGGAGGTGTCAGAAGCTTTGTGCTTGTTGTTCTCTGATAATATGGATTTTAACATTGCCTTGGTTCCAACAATTAAATCTTCAAGGCTGTCACGGGTGTCATCATCTTCATCGATCTCTTCTATTTCGGACTGACACGCTAGAAGCTTTTCGCTGTAACTATTCAGCATTTCGAGTCGACACTCAACTTCCGACGGATCTGATGAGAGTGACTTATCATGAATTCCCGTTTTAATTCTAGCTATGCGTCTTTTTAAAATTGTCCTTTGTCTTTTTAAGGAAGTAGCGTCTTCCACCTGGCCTGGCTGACTCTCACTTTTACTCATCTTGATTCGCTATGCACAGTAACTTTGTACAAAATTATAGTCTGGAAGTTTTCAACGTGGCAATACGAAAAGGAAAAAAAATCGCTGAAACTTCACCAGAACTATCGAAAAAAAGGCGCAAATCAAGAGATAAAAGCTTATAATCCCTTAATTGGGAAAACTAGACGCGACGTCGAAAGTTTTTTAAGACCTAACCGTGAGCAAAAAATATGGTCAACGATTTTCCCAAACAATTAAAGCAGTATAGCTTTCGAAAAATATTTGACAGTTTTGGTAATCGGAGCCTTGTCGGAAATTGTACGAGGTAGTTTTCACTACACAATCCCGAAATCTTGTTTCACGAAATTTGTATAAACAAACAATTTAATTTCAAAGTGAATACAAGAGATGCCAAAAATTAAAGCTTGTTGGGTGATCTTTGCAGCAATTTAACAAAAAACAACAACCTCAACAGCTTTTAATTGTTAGCACTCAATACCTGTTCTGTATGGACTGAGTCGTTTCCAGCTTCAACTTCCCTTTTGCACAGTAAACAGCTGCACTTCATTCCTTGGCGAAAACTTTGTACAATCCTTAATTACAGCAACGATATTGAGCAGAAAACGGCACTGGCTAATCAGCAGCAGTATTTTTGTGTATGTGTGTGTGTGTGTGTGCAGCAAGTTTCTAGCGCAAATTGCTTCTTTTTTTTTTGTATTTAGCGCCTTTTGCGAGTAAGTATCACACTTTTGCTTGTTTTAAAAATATATTGAGTAACGCACTTGTGGGTAAGTTAACCTCTTTAAATTTTTTATTTTTTTACTTTTTTAAGTATTTTGGGTAAGTACCTCTTTATTCAAATAATTTAATTTTTTATTTTCAGGTTTCACACTGCTATAGTTTTGTGCGCCACTGTATATACGAACGCTTGGTGTGTAGCTAGGAGCGCAGGTAAATTTTGCTAAGTATTTTTTCACCAATCTTTTAGATTTCATTAGAAGGGTAAGTATATGTACACAATTTTAACTTTTTACACACTATTTTTAACCAAAATTTTAAATTTAATTATCAAGTTAAGTATTCAATAGTTTTAAAATTCTTTTACACTTTAAAATTTTAAGCTTTTGTTTATTTTCAGCCACTGCACTG